CTTTCAGTGACACAGAGACGGCCAGCGGCCGGTGCTGCTTGGTACCGACTCTGTGTGTCTGCTTGTCCGTGCCCGGCCGTCCGTCCGTCCGTCCATTCGCTCTCACTCGTCCAAAAAATATGACTGGGATGACGAAAAAAAAGAAGGAAAAACGGAGAAGGAGAGGACGAATGCGTGTGTGTCGTTCTGGGCGATTTTCACTTCTAGGTCATTCGACCTATTCCCCCATTCGTTTCCCATTCGTTTCCCATCTGATGAACTCTCATTCTTCTATTTTCAAATTTCTAATGTAATCTAAATTCCCATTTCCTAGCTGATGAGCACTTTTTCTTCCTTGGTGGGGTTTCTGATCTGATGAGTCAGTGTAAATATCTCAAGCATTTTTTAATCCAGCATTTTATAGAATTTCACATCAGACACTTGACAGCCGAGCTCCAGACTCCTGAAAATAGTCAGAATGGCCGAAAGTCAATCCAAAAAATACATTTTTTTGCACGGCAAATAATTTACGAAATTTGTTCTTCTGCAAATCTACAGTAATCCGATTGATTTAAAACCTGTCTCCTACCTTATTTTTGAGTGTTTCCGAAAAAAATTATATCAAAATGTTTGCGACAAAATACTGCACATAAGTTACTTAATTAGAAATATTTATAATCAATGGTTTTTAATAGATCCCCAAAAACCTATAAAAGTTGCATTTTTCCGTTGCTTTTTCTAAAAATCTATCTCTTCATTGGTTTCTTGACCAAAATGGACATGTTTAGGCTCATTCCGTGTGTTTTTGTCCCCTTCATAATTTTTACTTATTTTGAAATCCAAACGTTCTGCCCAAAATTTTTAAAGGCAGAAAAAGAGAGACTGTTCTATTGTATCGACTTTCGCAACTTATTCGCGTTGTTGTGTTTATCTTATTAACCGGTACTGTATATCTGGATAAGAACTAACTCTATGGATGATAATTCCAGTGGCAGCTCCTCCACGATAAGTCAGTGTCAATTCGGTCATTTGAGTATTTGGACGACGAGGTGGCAACTGTTTTTCGCTAACCAGACAATGGTCATCTCTCATGAATTCAATGGTCACTTTTCCGGGAAGCTTCGCACTGATTGCACGAATGAAATCAGCAGTTGTTTTGATATTCTGAAACCGAAGATTCTAGATAAAACACAGCGAAAGTTGAACTCCAACCACTCCTCCATTGACGTTCAGAATCTCGTCTCCAGCGAACAAAACGCCCATCAATTGACTGCTTACATCCACATATGTAATCTAAAACATTCTTGAATTTTCTAAGTTTCCAGATCAAGATTTCACACCTTTCCATTCACCACATCACACGCCACCACCACATTTTTTCGATCGAATTGTACTTCTTCCTTTCCTTTCACATGGAAACTATTGTTGGTTGTTGCCATCTGCAAACGCTCTCTCTGTTTTCTTGTGTTGTCTCGTCTTCTCTCTGTCTACGGAATGTTTATTCCCTCTGACCCTTCTCCCTCAATGGCCTCCTTAGCTCAGTTGGTAGAGCGTGAGACTTTTAATCTTAAGGTCAGGGGTTCGAGTCCCCTAGGTGGCTTGATGTTTTGCCGAACTTACTTTTATCCGATTGGGTGTTGACGCGGATAACGACGAAGCTATCTATAAGAATTAATTAAGAACTACTTGTATTGTATTTTTTTCTTCTCCCTCTTGATTGTAATCGTGGAAGGGCATTGGATTCAATGACAAAAATTCACGTTATTGTTGAATCAGAGACAAAACTAGGTCATCAGAGGTTCTATGGTTTATTATTATCGAGTTATTAATAAATTATTAGTTTGTAGGAAACGAATTAATGGAATGGAACAATCCAATCGGCATTATCCTCTGCTTTCGTCGCTTTCTTATCACTTCCTCTGACGAATTTCGAGAGTCTCGATCTTACTGTATTCAGATCCTTGTTGTACGTTGGAGCACTGAAAATCAACTGATATTCTAATAAATTTTGAATAGTACTAACCTATAAGCTCTAGACCCTGATCTTGATTCAGATTCTTCAGTCTCTTCGGTCTTCTCAGCTGGTTTCATTGTAGTCGTAGTAATTCCGAGAAGGCGCTGAAAACTTGGTGGCATTGTCAATCCTGGCATCGTTGGCATTCCAGGAATTGGTGTGAATGTTGGGAAAGTGTGTGGAGCCAAAGTTGGAAGAGTTGGAAGATCTTGTGGAGGAAGAACTGGAACTGGTACTGGGATGAACTGTGGAAGTGGAAGAGGCTGAAGTGGTGGAAGAAGTGGAAGAGTCATTGGAATTCTTTTTGGAGGATTCGCTGGACGATAGGCTTTTCGTGTTGGAATGGTGACGACTTCTGGAGCACGACGAACTCCGGTCGAAGCCGGACGAAGGGATTTGGCCAATGGAGCGAATGAGGAAATCGAAGGGAGTGGAGCTCTGAGAGTTTTAATTTTATTAAATTAAAGATGGCAGGAAAATTTACCTTCTAACATCTCCTTTTGACTTTAGTCCGCTAGCATGAGGAACAATTTCGTAGGCAGTGACAGTTCCTGAAACTTAACGACCATGAAATCATCAAAACTAGGGGAAACTAGGTCAAAAATAAGAACTAACCGATGACACAAACGGCTAACAGGAGAAGCTTCATTGTTTCTTTCGATTGTTCTCGAAAAATGAAGAATAGACGGATCGAATAAGCAGGGAAGGCGTCGCTTCTTATCACTCAAAAATTCTCGTTTTGCCCTTATCAATTAGCCATCGTTTTGTGGAAATCTCGACGGAAAAGCGAGAAAAGACAATGGAAAACAGATATCCACATTTCTCAAGTTGAGATGAAAGTTCAGAAAACAGAAAAAAGATATTCATGGCAATTGTCTGTGTCTCTTCACACTCGTTCACCTCTTGAACCTTTATGACAGTCATATGCAAATTTGAAGAAGGGGTGTAAAGGGTGGGATATTGAATAGAATGCACCAGTGTTACTAGTTGTACACCCATGAGACTGTACGTTTTGATTCTGTGCTTTCTGGTTATAATGTAAGTTTTCAAAGTTCTTCTTTAGGTTTGAGCCCATTTATCTCATTTCCTGAAGAAGATATAAAAAAGTTGTTAATTGATAAATTGTTTATCATAACATCGCAAAAATGTTATTAGTTGACTATGCTTTGATACTTTTCACAAGTAATGAGATATAGTACCGGTCCATAAGATATACAAAAAAACTCAGTTGATTTTCGGTCATTTTGACAAATTTCAAGAGTCTAGAGCTCGGATGTCAGGTTTCAGATCAGTTTGAAAACTTTGGAGGGTGTAAAACAGACCTAGATGAAAAATATTGCATTGAAAATTTAGGAAGGTGTAAAACAGACCTATATTGAAAACTTTGCATTCACAGAATTTTCAGAATATTCTTAGTTTTTCAACTATTTGCCGACTTCTGAAAGGCACCTTTTTTGACGTTTTCAATACAAAAACAATGCAAAACAGTGTAAACGGATGTCAAATGATCGGAAACTTGGCAGCCGAGCTCCTGACTTCTGAAATTTTTTAACTAGCCGAAAATCAACTGAAACATATTTTTGTGTACGTTATGTTACTGTATGTTTTTCAGATGTTTGGCCAGAAGAGATTCAAATCAAAAGTTGAAGGCATGTTGTGCCAGACAAAAAACCGCTGATAAAATGTGCAAGAAGAGATTCTGTGACTTCGAAGCAATCCATCAAGGGAATGTAAGTCAGCATTTTTATAAGACATGTGAAGATCAAATGCTTCCAGATGCTTCACTACCTGAACACTTGTGGACCAAAGAATCAAACAGTTCAGTTGATGTGGGACTGTGCTTCTTCTAGAGCCGATCATACCGAATGTTGCAAGAAGAAGTAGGTCATAATGTTTCAGAGCCAATCAGTTGTCTTTTATTTTAGCAATGTTCTTCCCGCATGTCTTCCATATTGTGCCGCCCAAGGAACCGTTCCAAATGAGCAAGTGACTCATGTTTTTTGTATGCAAAACTTCAACAACATCAGAGATTGCTTCCGTTCTCATCTTGAGAAAAGACCGAATATTTTTGGAGATAATTAATATGAATTTGAACTTTTTATTGATAAGTAAAATGTATTAGGTTGGAAACTAAGTTTTTGTGCACTTTTGTTTTCCTCATTTCTCTTAACTGAGCTAGCACAGTAACATGTGTGTCACCGGATATGGTGTATAAGATGATAAGGTTGTTCACAATAACCATCATTTGACCTGCTCTCATTCCGCTTGCTAACGGGATGCCCCTTTTGACACCCACTGTTTTTGGGTGAAATTTCTGTATATTGTTTACATTTATTTCTAACCTGAAAGTATCCGATATTCATCACCGCCTGTTGGAAGTTTACAAAGATAATGCCCCCATAGAGACACCGTTGTAAATTGGGTTGACAAGTTCAAGAACCAAGACTTTTCAATGAAAGATGAAACTTGTGTCGGGAAACACGTTCTTCAAGATTCAGACAAGCTGAAAGATCTAGTAGAATGGGACCTTTTCCAATCTACCCGTGAAATGTCAATCACTTTGGGGACAACCCATACCACTGTTGAAAATGGATTGTTAAAGTTGGGAAAGACAGAAAAACTTGGACGGCGGATACCTCAGCGTTTTGACCAGTTTTGATGTCACTTCTATCTCTCCCCAAAAATATTACAAAAAAAATAAAAAGTGCAATCAGGATGACCACCCATCCATACACTTTTTCTCGCAACATCTTTTTTCGTCATCCGACCGTTAGCCAACTTTTAATTCTTCTTCCTTGTTCGCTGATGAAATAGAGTGCAAAGTAGCGGAGACTTTAGATGATTGACGGTTGGACGGAATGTGTAGAATACCGTTCGGAACGTAATGTTCGGAACGGACTTTTTCGGAATTTCGCAAAATTCCGATTTTTAAAAATTCGGAATATTGCGATTTTCTAAAATTCGGAATTTCAGAATATTCCGATTTTAAAATTTTCGGATTTTCGGAAGTTTCGGAATTTTTCAAAATTTCTTGGGAACCAGGGTACAAGCAAAGTGTTTCAATTTCACAAAAGCAAAAATTTTTTGATTGCAGAAATGGTCAAGTCGTCAGCGTTTTGTCTCCCATTTTTAGCTCGCTTTAACATGGGGCGTAAGGGAATGATATCGAAGAGCACATGAGTATCCGACAGTATCCAAGTTTCTTAGAAGCCTTCATTTTGATTATTTAAAGCTCAGAAATTCGAAAAATGAAAAAGGTGGTTTGATTTTTGAATTGTGATGATTCCAGGAGTATATATTTAGTCCTCGGCAGCTAAAGTTCAGGATGAATGAAAAAATCAGACTTATACTGTATAAGTCTGATTTTTCTAAGTTATACCTCCACAAATTGGTGATTGATTTCAGTGGATCTGAGGTCAGGTAGAAATACAAATAAAATGGTAGTCCAAAAATGGAAAGTATTAGAGGCGAAAACGGTGGGCATATCTCACTGCACGAAAAGAGGAGAATGATTTCCGTTGGGATGTAGACACTACTAGACCTCACCAGCATACTGATAAAACGACAACTTCCTCGCTTTTATCCCCTTCAAGAAAACGAAGTTTGAAAACAACATATCAAAAGTGGAAAGGACTTTCCGAACAACCTAATATTATAAGAATGATTGCTAATTAGAGCTTTGATCGGTGTTTGCAGAGATTTCAAAAACAAAAACGCAACCAAATAAAGCGTATTCTGCTGTGGCTGTAATTCTTGTGTCCCATTTTCCTTTTGTTTTTTCAGTCTCGAAACTGAATTAACTGAAAATAGAAGAGGAATTCTCGACTCTTTTCTCTGCAAGTTTCAAAGAAGGACAAATGAAAGAAATCGAAATCAAACAAGTTTCTTATTAAGAGTTTCTATCCGAATCCACGATTTCCAAATGGTAGACATTTATCGATTTTTAGGCGAATATCTATAGAGATTTCGCAGATCTGACTGTAGAGACGCTTCTTAAAATGGCTGACCGTTTCCAGGTCTCATCGGTTCTTGGAATTGTTGAATATCATCTTCTCAATAATTTGAAAATTGGATATGAAAAAATGTTATGCTGACAAATACGCAATGCCGAAGCTTTCAAACAAGTGTATTAATCAGATGAACTCATTGGAGATGGCTAAGAAATTGGAAAAGCCTCCGGAATTCATGACGTTGTCGGATAGAAACAGCTCGTTGAATTTTAGATGTCTTTTGAATCGTAAATAAATAAATCTAAATTTACAAAATGTTTTTCCTACAAACTGAATGTATAGTTTGTGTTCCTGTTTCTGTTTCTCTGTGTCATTACATCGATTTCTCATACTTGTATCCGCCGAAGCGAAAATGAAAATTTTCATACTTCTTTTTCCAATTTGGAATCAATTTTCTTGTAATTTTCCATATCTAAAGTCCCAGCTATCAATATCATGTTTTCAACGATAAATGAATCGTTAATTACTCTAGAATCTTCCAGAAAACATGACTAACAACGATGAAGGGGGAACGGAAACTGAAGAAAACCCGAAAACAGAATCGCCGTTGAACAAGAATGAAATCCTTGAAAAACTGGAAATCCTTGAAAAACTGGTGGTGGCTGAAACTGAGAAAATCGCAAAACCACATAAACGAAAGTTCGATGAAATCGCGGAAAAGCTCCAATCAATGAAAAGTTCGATTACGAAAATGAATAAAGACGAGAAGAAGGCGATTTTTGATGAATACGAGAAGAAGGCGATTGAAAAGTCCAGTTTGGCGAATGTGAGATTCGGAGGAGAAAACTGAGAATATCAGAATTTCCGATATCAGAATTTCCGATACCAAGATTTCCAATATCAGAATTTCCGATATCAAGATTTCCGATATCAGAATTTCCGATACCAAGATTTCCGATATCACAATTTCCGATATCACAATTTCCGATATCAGAATTTCCGATATCAAGATTTTCGATATCGGAATTTCCGATATCAGAATTTCCGATATCAAGATTTCCGATATCAAGATTTCCGATATCTCAACCAAGTCGGTAATTTTTTTAGATTTCTCGGAAATCGAGTGTTTTTTGTTTCTAATTCTAGAGTATTTAAATAAATTTGATTCCACTTCAAATACCATCAACCATCCACTTTCGACAACGTCTTCTGATTTTTTTTTCTGAAATTTGCTACTTCGTTTTCAGAAACAATTGTTTGAGGAATATAATCTGGAACCTCGCAGAAAACATGATTTATCACAAACTTTTTCATAACTTTTTGCCCCAAAAGAAATTCAATATTTTCAAAGTAGACATAGACTTGAGAATGGTGTCTCTCCCTTGATAACCTAAACCTAATGTATCCAACCCCTCCCTTAATATTTCTAGTATTTTTCCCAACCCCAAACCATATCAACCCTTGTAATCTGCACAACTCCCCCCCCCCCTAATTTCCCATCCTCTAGTACAAATCCAATTTCATTTGAACACTCTTTTTTCCATCTACCTCAAAAAACCATAAATTTCATGTCTAATTTACATATGTTAAGCTCATTAGAAAAAGAAAGAAGAGGGTGAGAAAAAAGGAAGAATTGAATGAAATCGAATCTGGAGTCAGAATTTGGTCCTTTGGAATTTATTGCCTCCTTTCTCTCTTTTCCGATTCAACCGGAAATTGAGTTTTTTCGTTTCTTTCACAATTCACATCTTCTGGTATACGGTAGATCCCTGCTTGAGATCCCTGGAAGAAATCTCTTTCATTTTGCCCTTGTAATGATTTTCATGATGTTCCGTTTCATTTTCTCTGCGTCTCCTCGTTTCCCATACTCCCTAATCTGGCGCCATAGAAATGCCTCATAACTCACTGACATATGGCTTTCTTCCGACATTCGAAAAGAGGCCAACCTTTACTCCAATTTTCAACAACTACCGTATATACTGGGTCCCTCCGGAAAAAGTCAATTGATGGAAAAAAAGTGAACAAAAACTTTCTTTTCGTTTTTGGATTCAAACATTTTATGATATATATACGACACTCAAAAATGCATATCTCCGCTGGTTTCTTCAAGTTTTTTTGTTCCTCAAAAACTCTTCGTATTTTCATTCATCGACGATTAAAAACTAGAAGATGTGTCAAAATTTGGCGGTGTTGATGGTCTGTTTGGGTTGTGTGTCTCATTGTGCAAAACTCTTCAACTTTTTTTGAAACCATCTCCTTTACATTTTTGATGAGAAGTGTTGAAGAAGACGTTTGTTTTTGGAGGATTCATCCCGAATGACTGGAAATTCTTTTTCATGTTTTCTCAGAAATCCTATAGAGAGTTACTGTAGTTTTGAAGAATTTTACAACATACAAGGTTAGCGATTCAAAGATTTCGAACACCGTAAGCCCTCTAATAGAAGGGTCTTTTGGCTTTCAACTTTGAGCCAGCTTTTCTCGGTTCCTGTGAAATATATGAAGAAGTTGTTAACTGATTAATAGTTTATCATACCATCAGAAATATTTTATCAGTTGATTACTTTTTTATATCTCTTATAGGAATTTAGATAACGGAGCTCAAACTTGACAGTTCGAGAGCCCTTCTATTGAAGGTTTTACGGTTTATTGAAATTTTAAATTTCGAAAGATCTTAAAGTTCTCACATCATGAGATACCTAGATTATGAGAAAGCATTTTAAAATACCATAAAATCTGTACGGAGGGGGCTTTTAGTGAACAATGTTCCCGAAATTCCACAATTTCCCAGAAATGTGTTGAAAAACTCTTGTTTGCTTAAAAATGTTTTCAATGAAAAATTTTGTAAAAAATATCTGGAAAAATATAAGGGCTCCCGCTAATTGAAGGGCCCCTGTAGTAGAAGGGCCCACCGGAGGTACCGTAGAACAGTCGGAGGGCCGGCCCCTCTCATACAGATTTTATGGTATTTGAAACCTAACAATCCAACGAAACGGTGAAAACCAAAACATTCTATTCAAATCTAGTTGTCTGCGAATCCGAAAATTTTAAAAGTAAATTTCCGTTCGCCTTCTTTTCAAAACGAAATCCTCAAAACAACCTCTTCTCTTTCCAAGCGTTCTTCACCACCACCACCACCGCCATTCGAAATTCGATACTTGAAAGACAAAACAATTCATTTGATACAAACTGTTTTCAGAAAAAAAATGCAGAAATCGGAAATTGTTTTCATCGAACATTTTTTTGAATAGGAAGGAAAACGGCAAAAACATCATCAAAATGGGAAAATATACAATCCGCAGAAGATTCTGGAATCATTTTTCTCTGTTTACATCAAAACTTTGAAATTAATTTTTTTTTTGGTTTCTGGACGGAAAAAATGGAAAAAAGTGTTCCGGATGTATTTGCAATTGAACTTATTTGAACCGAATTAGATGAAGGAAGAAAAAATAACTTCAACTTTTTTTTTCAATAATTTTTATTTCTTCGCACTCTCGATGCGCTCATTTTTTATTAGTTAGTGCTCTTTTTTCCCAGCATTCAACCAACTTTTTGACTCTTTCATTCCAAAAAAAAGAGAAAAGTTTTCATTATCTTTTTCTTCATTTTCATCAGGAGAGAACAAAATTGAATTTGAAGTTGAAATTGTTTTGGGATGTTTGGGATTCTAGAGAATCCAAAATTTCAAATTTCCAGTTTGTTGGAGTTTTCGTTTCGAGATTTTTTTTGTTGCACATATTTGCAAGATTTTTTGTTCAGATTTTAGAAGATTCAGAATTTCAGCTTCTTGATTTTCAGACCCCCCCCCCCTCCCCCACATTACAAAATTTCCGTAAAACCTTCTAATTTCGGAATTTCAAAGGCTTGGTTAGATTCATATTTTCCAGAGAGAATTTATCGGAAAATTTCAAAAAAATATTTTTTTTTGAATATTTTTTCTATATTGTTATCTTTATGTATTGTAATTTTTGGATAATCCCAAAATATCGATTTTTTGAAGATTTTTTTGAGATTCTTGATTTTTTGAAATTTTCTTTTCGGGAAATCTGAAAATTCGAATTTTCAATGTTTTCGTATTTTTCTTAACTTTTCGAATTTCTGGATTTTTGAAACTTTTGATAGAATCTTTGGATAGGTCGGAAAACCTGAGGATCAGAATAACCAACTAGAATCAAACCTTCTAGAATCAAAAACTCTAGATTCCTATTTAATTTTAAAATTCAATTCTTATTTTCTTCATTCTCCTTTCCAAAATTGTCTCATCATCCCCGAATTTTCGATTCTTCTGAAAAATAAAAGTTGAATTCAAAAATAACGTCTTCAGTTTTTCAACAAAACAGAGAAGCGAAGAATGAAGACGTCGTGAAAAACTTCGGAAAACGAATTTCGAAAAATATTTCGGAAATCTCAAATCTCGAGGAGCATTCTTCATTCTCAAGTGGGAAAATTCCAGTCGGATGGGGACTGCTCAGGCTTTTTTGTTTAGTCTTTTTCGGGTTCACTTTGTGTGTGGTCCTCCTGGAAAAATTGGAGAAAATTTTGGAAAGAAATGGGGTTGTAGAGTGAAAACTAGAAGGACTTGTCAATTTTTTTTCGGAAAAAAATCAGAGAATCCTGAAACCATAAAACGAATTCTTATGAAAGTGAGGTACCTAGATTTTAATAGTTACGGGTCTTCCAGAGCCTTGAAATCAATGTTTCAGAATCTAAACATCTTGAATTTTCAGGATACCCAGATTCCAAAAATTGAGAATTATAAAATCTCTTTTCCTCCTCGACCTCTCCATAAAACATTTTCTAAAACCCTACCTGGCACCTCCCAGCATTTTTTCGACCACCAGAACCCAAAATCTCCGGTCGATTTAATTAACAAAATGAATTCGCCTCCTTCCGTTTTTATTCTCAGATTTTTCACTGTTCCCCGCTTCGATAGGTTTCCGTTTTTTGTCATTCAACCCCCCCCCCCCCCAAGCTGTTCTCTCCTACTGTGTTAGCATGTCCCCCGCCAACCTGGCGCCACAGTTTTCATGAAATTTGAATCTTTTCGAAACTGAATTCAAATGATTTTTGGGAAAAAGTCGAATTTTTGTTGGGACGATGAGTGGCTGGGAGACGGAAGAAGATGATGAGGAATAAAAGATTCAGAGTAGTGTCTTTCTTTATTCTTTATGTTCTTTTCTAATTCTTCAAGTTCTTATTCTTCTTCTTTTTCTTCGTTTTCATCCTCGTTTTCTCCTTTCCATTCGTTCATTTTCAATTTGTCGCCCACTTTTATGCTCATCATCATGCTTTATTTCTTCGCCACACACACATTTTTCATGTTCAATTTTGTGCGACTCCGTTTTAAAAGTGTAACTTCTCAAAACTTTTCGGATTTCTTCTTTTACCAGTATGAAATTATTGATACTGGCTGAAAAATGTTGAAAATTTTGAAAATTCCATCCTTCTTTCTGAAACTAAACACCGTACTTCCTCTAATAGAAGCCCACCCAAACCGTCAAATTTGAGCTCAATTATCTCGATTCCTGTAAGAGATATCAAAAATTAGTCAACTGATAAAATATTCGTGATATTATGATAAACAACTTTTTGATATCTCTTACAGGAATCGAAATATTTAAGCTCAATTTTGGCGGCTCGAGTGGGCATCTTTTACAGGAAATACGGTATGCATTTATAAAGACCTTGAAATTGAAAGTTGAAAAAAGTACTGAAAATTTTCAAAATTTTCATAACTCAGAAAGGGTCTCGCAATAAGCCAAAAAAATTTCCGCAAATACTTTGAAACTTTCTAAATCTGAAAACATTGAAACTCTTTTTTTCTGACTTTTTCTTATCAGCATTGATCGATAACTCCAATCCTTTTTATCTATCACAACTATCTAACCTATATTTTCCAGTTTTACTTCATTCCATAACTTACCTAATACCTCAAAATAGGGTCTAAATCTTATTTTCCAACTTTAAGCCTACTCATCCGTATTCCAAGAACACGGGTAACCTCTTGATCTCCTGTGTCGTCAAAGCCGATTACCTGTTCGATCCTGGATTGTCAATTTCGTCCATGATCACTCTTACAAGATCTCGAAAATTCTCATCTTGGGTTTTTCAGAGTATGTTCTGGAATATATGAGTTTAGAATATCAATTTTTATTTCTGGAGAACACCCTTTTTGATTATTTTGCGCTAGGACCAAAAAAAAAACTTGCGATAGAAGATTTTCTTTTCTTTTAACTTTGAGCCAATTCATCTTGGTTACTATTAAAGATACGAAAAAGTTGTAAATTGATAAATTTTTATCATAATACCACAAACATTTCATCAGTGGACACATTCTTTGAATCTCTCATAGGAGCCGAGATAAATTAGCTCAAAACTTGTTGCGGCCCTTCAGCCACGTTATTCTCAAATCGAACCGATTTATAGAATTTGAAGATTGCGAAAGCTCCAATTTATTGTTATGTTTATTGGCGAAAATTATACTGTGAACAGGTTTCAATCATGTTGATCCCAACGACTCTATAAATTTCATGAATAGTAAAAAGAAATTTGGATGATCCGTAAAGAGCCGCTCCAATAGAAATACTGTGGTCAGATTTAGTAACTTTCTGTATGATCACCCCTTTTTATCTTCACCTAAAGCTAATCGGGATATAGGATTTTAGCGTTATTTATTCGACTCAAGTGATGTCAAAATTTGCTGGGTAGTCCTCGTGATCACAAAAAATAAAACTGTAGCATGCCCTCTTTAACAAGTCATCGTAGTCTGATTTCTTGAACCTAAAACTTCTGTTTCTGCCCTGTCAGAAGTCTTCCGAATGTTCTTCGACTTTGGTGTAGTATATTGTAGGATTGGATCTACTTGAGATAAGATGATCATGAATACAAGAGTTGAAATCTAAACTCATAAAAGCCAAATGTACGTCACAGGCAGTGTGCCTTATCGACAAATGGTTTGTCGACAAACGCCCTTTACGACAAATTTATCGACAAACTTACCGGTAAATTTATCGAAAAATTACCGACAAATTGTATAAACAACAATAAACAACAACAACAACAACAATAAACAACGATAAAAACAACATTTATCGACAATTTGTCGATAAATTTGTCGATAAAAATGCTCTTTGTCGACAATTTATCGATAAAATTTTATCGTTTTTTATCGGCAAATTTATCGATAATTTGTAACGTAAATTTGTCGACAAAATCGGAAAATCTTTGTCGACCAATCCAGAACCGTCCCACTTGATGTTTAGTTGCTTCTGATAGTAAGACACAAAATAACAACAAAGCAGATATTTTTTAGATATGGGCGAACTATATCATATTATCCTAGATTATGAGTAGATCAACTCTTTGACCTGGCACATGTGGGCTACGTAGAATACTTCAAATTGGATTCTTCTTTTTTTATGACTGCGTCACATCAGTTTTTAAAAATCCATGACGTCTTCATACCGACGTATTTTGGTCATCTTCCAGTTATATTCTACTTTTTTGTTTTTGAGTTCCAGTCTAGTTTTCTAGTTTTTCTTCCCACAAGTAGCCTCAATTCAAAATCAAAATAATTTTGTGTTAATTTATCGTTTATCGTTACGCTCTAATAGAAGCTCACACCAAACTGTCCACTATTTTGAACTCAATTATTTCGCTGCGTTTAAAAGATATCAGAAATTTATTATCTCATCCAATATTGATAACTTTACGGAACACATTTTATCAGCTGTCAAGTTGTTGATGTCCTTTGAAGGAACAGAGATAATTGAACTCAAAGTGCTCATAAAAACTCTATTAGAAGGCCACCCAGCCCGACAACTTTGATCCAATATATCTCGATACCTGTGAAAGATATCAAAAAGTGGTTAACTAATTGCTGATATCATGATGAAAAATTTGTCAGTTAATAACCTCATTTTGTTAACTTTCACAAAAACCGAATTACATTGGCTCAAAGTTGGATGGTTAGGTGACCTTCTATTAGAGTGTTTACGGTATCTTTTTTCGATACACGACTTACGGCTACGCCTTGCCAGTCAATTCTAATTTTTCCCAGAATCGCAATAGACCATCTGAAAACAGAATGTGATTTTTGAGACTAGAAAATTGCTGATTTCTGAAGATACAGTACCGGTGGTTAATACGATATACAAGTAATTATTTTTCAGTTAACTTTCAGTCATTTTTACCATTTTCAGAAGTCTGGAGCTCAACTGTCAAGTTTCCAATCACTGATAATTTTGGAGTGCGTAAAACTGGCCTACATTGAAAACGTTGCATTCACAGAGTTTTTTGAAAATTCCTAGGTTTTCAGCTTCCTAGCCAAAATAGCTATGCCTTCCAGAATACATAGCTGGAAAACTCAGAATTTCAAAAATTCTGTGAATGCAGTTTTACAATCTAGATTTGTCTTACACCTTCTAAAAATTTCAAAGAAAAACTCGATTTTGTAGATCTTATTGACCGGTACTGTAGGTTTTTTCATGATATTCAACCTTGGCATGGCTTTTCAGCTATTTTTCTAACCCTCTGACATTTTGGTTCCACCAAACTGACTTTTTCTTTCAAAAGCTCACAAACTTTTTTACCCAAACTGATTCTGACTCAATTTTGTAAAACCCATTTACATTCATTTCTCTCCTTTTCCATCCCGTTACTTTATTGAATGGACATCTTGTTTCTGCCAAACTTCAGAATACTTTTTCTCCTTTTTCTCCACATCACGACTCCTGATGCGTGAATGAATTGAATTTCTTTTCTCTTGTCAAGAAAATAAATTTTCCTTTTCGGATTGGGTAATGGAAGACAAACTCACTCACAAATCTTCAAATTGATGAAAAGCCTCCAAAAACTTTTTTTTTTCGTTCGGACCACTAATGGGCTCTGGTCCCTTTTGTTTATCGTTTTCGGATTACCTTTTCGCATCGAAAAACCGAAGCAAATTTCTTATTTCCGAGTGAAGAACAATTTTCTTGTCAAGAATTGTTGAAAAGAGGAGAAATGCAAAATGGAGTGAGGCTAGCTTAGAAAGAAGAAGAAGAAGGAGAAGATCATTTCAATATACAGGAAGTGCACCGGAACTCTTTTTGAGAAGTATCGAAAGGGGGTCATTCCGAACATCCGACGATTAAAAAGTAGTTTGTTTTTAGAGCGCATTTTCGACACGATTGACAAGTCGTTTGGTGCGGGAGTGATGGAAACAAAACGATTTATGAAATCATTCTCTCTGAGCTCCTTATATGGAATGCGATTTATTTTCTAGGGTCAAAACCCCACGAATCTATGGTACGGAGTAAACAAGATTTGAGGATTTTGTCTAACATCAGAGAATACATGATGAATATAATCTACAGTAATCCACAGAACGGAGTTGTCAAATCATGTTGGGAATCAAGGTGATGAGATTCGAATAATCTAAAAATTCTGAATTTGATTACAGATTCTCCAGGAACCCTGGTGATTAAAAGCACAAGATTGCATGCAATCGAGTACAAGTTCTGACCTTTTTTAAAACTCGAGCTACACTTAACCTTGACTAACTTATGGACTATCCAAAAGTAGGA